GTACTTGGCACTCCTAACGTGTCTGTACTGTTTGTTGTTGTAACGTTCTGACCCGCCCCTACTGGACATCTGTGAAAAAGAGCTTTACAGCTCATCGGATTTCAGCAGTATAAATACATATTCTGCTTCTGATACCAATCGGTCAAACGTCTCAAATGTAAGGACATTTTTCAGCGTGTGCCTAGATGGATAAACGCCCCTTTAGTTCCGATTTTCTCAGCAACTGTTACAGAAAAAACACATTTGCCCTGTGGAACGAGTGTCCTTGGGTCTTCACGTGTGTGCACGACCAGCTATCCTGACGCTCTGACGCGACTACAGTCTGCAATCGTGCTGAGAATTATATAGTGGACATATTCAGCTCTGCTTTGTATAAGTGATCCTACATGTTAAATAAGGGACAACAGACACGTGATACACACAAGCATCTCGCACACAAACACGTGTGCCAATGTCCTTTATGTAACCATGTCGGGCATGAGAAACACAAACATGCTTGTGTATGTGTTTGTGGGGAACGGTAGTGCAGCGGTTAGCGCGCTACGAACCAGGCCATCCGAGTTCGATTCCCGCTCACGGCCAACACCAATGGCGATTATCTGAACCGGTACTTGGCCTCCCCTAGGTCGATTCAGCCTCAAATGAGTACCCGGCACGGTATGTAAAAACATCGCCACTGGGGAGACAAAGGCGGTCGGCGTGGTGCTGGCCACCTACCCCCTGGTGTGCCGTCCAGGCCTTCATAGGTGCTACTCGCTAAGAGCACGTGTCCCAACAGTTTGTTCGGTGCAGCTTGTGGTTGAATGTGAATCAACGGCGACACGTGGTGGCTTTTAGGGCTGAACGATTTGGGGAAAAATTTTCAAAGCGATTTTTCTGACATATTGCGATTTGATTTGCGATTGAATTTTTTTAAGTCAAGCTTCAATTCAACATTCACTGTGTAATAGATTTAAAACATGTGATGGAGCATGATCATATGATACCATCAAAATATTTACTTCTCTATATATTATAATGCAAGGATGAGAACTTAAAAGACATTAATTGCTTCCAACATGTATTTATTAAAATGTGTTATTGAATGAGAACAATGAAACGTAGAAGTTAAATAAAGAAAGTTATAATAATAAAACAATTCCAATAAGAAAGTAATAGGAAATTTCAAATCGCAGCCTTTGCGATTTGTTAATCGCACTGTTTCAAATTTCGATTTGAAATCGATTAATCGTTCAGCCCTCGTGGCTTCTGTAAACACGCGGCGGTCTCTTTTTTTGTCTCCCCTCCGCCGAGCCTTGACAGCTTCTCCGTCGCGTTTTTGGTCACCGCAGCCACCGCAGACCGCCTGCCAAAGATTTCCTTCTCTCTTCCTAATTGTTACTTTATTTTTTAATGTTACTTTATTGTACTTTCTTCCTCCCACCTCCTACCCCAAACCTCGCCCAACCCCCACCGCCAGTTGCCATCCCCTCCGCCTCCTCCCCCCCCATCCAGCCTCTCTCCCTCCCTCCTTCCACCTCCCACCGGGTTCCTCTCAACATATGGCTGGGGGCGATGTCAACAATAACAACAATAACTATAACGAGACGGGCGTCGATAGAGACGTCTTTAAATAGGACGCACGCACGTGAGAATTAGGTGGAGCTAGGAATAAGTCCCTGCGGGTTGCAGCCTCGGCGTTGGCGAGCTATAACGAGGGCGTGCTCCTCGAGAAGCTTTGCCTTTGTTTGGCGTAGCCCGTGAAAGGCATTCACAGGCACAGGCGATAATAACGCAGATCGCACGGCGTGAACTGACAGGCAGGGCCCGTGACAGTATCTGGGTGCAGTTCGAATTTAAAGTTCTCGAGACGAAGAACCTCTTTTAAGGCGTCTGCCCAGTGGGGAAAAATCGCCCAAATTCCGTCTAGAGGGGTTTTCAAAGTTAATTCCTGGTCAGATGAACATTGAAGCGGCGTCAAATCCGTGTGCAGCTACAAGCCAGTGATTGAAATTCCACATTCGTGTGGTGGGGGCAAGTCTATCTATAATGTAACCACTGTTGACTTCTCTACAGAGGGGTACTTATTTTTGAGACCCTATCGGGATGGTGGGTCTCCACTTCGAGGTCCTACTACCCAACTGTGGCGTGAGAGCTATTGCAGGGCTGCACCTTCACCTCTATTCATAATCCAGATAATGACGTACAAGGGGCGACAGTAAGGTCCACCGTTTCATGCCATTCGAATGTGTTGAGATGATGACGATCGCATGAACGATGAGCCCAGCTCAACATGGGGAACATGGCGAGGGCGTGTGCCGGGTGACCCTCGACCTCCGAACCCGGAGCTGACACCGATGGATGGGGATGGGCAGCGATATCAATGGTGTCGGAAGCCCACCGATATTTAATAAGATCGACCTGCTGATGAGACCCAGAAAGTCTAATCCTGAGCAGAGGATTCTATCAAAGTCTTCTGGAAAACATTGTTCGAGAAAGGTCCACCGACTAATGACTCTAAATCGATGGTTCCCATCGGCAGACTCTGTAGCAGTCAGCAACACATTTACCTGAGTCGTGTGTTTTAGGACTTGAGAGCGTTCTGGATTTGGTTAGTGATGAAAGAGATAATGGTGCAGTAGACGAGAGCTCTGAGACCGGGGTTGATGATCGCATTATCTTTAAAAATGAGGCTGCTTTTCGTTCAATTTTGTTCCCTTCCCCGCACCGCCGATGAGCACGGTTGGCTACGTACGGTGGGAAAGAAGTTGCACGTACGAACGTCACAGCTCCGGCTGCTGTGCGATGTGGGAGACTTTGTACTCGACTCAAGACGGTATACACATGACGATACACGTTCACGCGATGGTCAAGGTGGCCTGGGAAGCGAGCCGTGCCCCACACGACGAAGAGAGTGGTTGGGATTCGAGTGTGGCTCTGTTGGAGACGGGACGACATCGACGTCGTCGCAATGCAGAGGGACTGCAGTGGCCGCATGGGCGCTGCGGCGGCGAGATGTTAACTACCTCGCCTGGTATACAGGAGGTCGTGGGTTCGATCCCGGCCCTGACGCTTGCTGTATATTTAGAGTGTGCGTGTCTCTCTCTCTCTCATCATAATCAAGGTGGCGAGATGTTGACTACCTCGCCTGGTACACAGGAGGTCGTGGGTTCGATCTCGGCCCTGACGCCTGCTGTATATTTGGAGTGTCCGTGTCTCCCTCTCTCATCATAATCAAGGTGGCGAGATGTTAACTACCTCGCCTGGTACACAGGAGGTCGTGGGTTCGATCTCGTCCCTGACGCCTGCTGTATATTTGGAGTTTGCGTGTCTCCCTCTCTCATCATAATCAAGGTGGCGAGATGTTGACTACCTCGCCTGGTACACAGGAGGTCGTGGGTTCGATCTCGGCCCTGACGCCTGCTGTATATTTGGAGTTTGCGTGTCTCCCTCTCTCATCATAATCAAGGTGGCGAGATGTTGACTACCTCGCCTGGTACACAGGAGGTCGTGGGTTCGATCTCGGCCCTGACGCCTGCTGCTGTATATTTGGAGTGTCCGTGTCTCCCTCTCTCATCATAATCAAGGTGGCGAGATGTTAACTACCTCGCCTGGTACACAGGAGGTCGTGGGTTCGATCTCGGCCCTGACGCCTGCTTTACATTTGGAGTGTGCGTCTCTCTCTCTCATCGTAATCAAGGTGGCGAGATGTTGACTACCTCGTCTGGTACACAGGAGGTCGTGGGTTCGATCTCGGCCCTGACGCCTGCTTTACATTTGGAGTGTGCGTCTCTCTCTCTCATCGTAATCAAGGTGGCGAGATGTTGACTACCTCGTCTGGTACACAGGAGGTCGTGGGTTCGATCTCGGCCCTGACGCCTGCTGTATATTTGGAGTTTGCGTGTTTCCCTCTCTCATCATAATCAAGGTGGCGAGATGTTAACTACCTCGCCTGGTATACAGGAGGTCGTGGGTTCGATCCCGGCCCTGACGCTTGCTGTATATTTAGAGTGTGCGTGTCTCTCTCTCTCTCTCATCATAATCAAGGTGGCGAGATGTTAACTACCTCGCCTGGTATACAGGAGGTCGTGGGTTCGATCCCGGCCCTGACGCTTGCTGTATATTTAGAGTGTGCGTGTCTCTCTCTCTCTCATCATAATCAAGGTGGCGAGATGTTAACTACCTCGCCTGGTATACAGGAGGTCGTGGGTTCGATCTCGGCCCTGACGCCTGCTGTATATTTGGAGTGTGCGCGTCTCCCTCTCTCATCATAATCAAGGTGGCGAGATGTTGACTACCTCGCCTGGTACACAGGAGGTCGTGGGTTCGATCTCGGCCCTGACGCCTGCTGTATATTTGGAGTTTACGTGTCTCCCTCTCTCATCATAATCAAGGTGGCGAGATGTTGACTACCTCGCCTGGTACACAGGAGGTCGTGGGTTCGATCTCGGCCCTGACGCCTGCTGCTGTATATTTGGAGTGTGCGCGTCTCTCTCCCCGTGGTCGCGTGGATCTTTCTGCAGGTCCCCTCCGGTTTTCCCCTCTACATCTAGAAACGTGCGTTTTACAGTATTTTGGATAATCCACTTCGTTGAGCTATCATTCGTGATAGCCAGCTCGCTTCTGAAAAGCAGCTACTACGTAGCTCAGTGGGGCCTTTTAGTTTAGCAAGGGGGCGTCTGTATTAGAGGGGGGGGGGGGTGGACAGCGCATTGCAAAACAGAGGCAGCACAGCCTCTCCAGCCTACACACGGCACAACACGCGCTGTGACAACAGTGCAGCAGGGGCAATGGGGCCGCAGTTACCAACACAGTGGAGAATGCAGAGGGAGGGGATGGAGGGGATGGAAGGGAGGGAGGGAGGGGGGTGTAGAACTACATACGGGGGTGGCTCGGCGCGCATGGCTACAACGCGGTGAGGCGGTCCGTTTCCGCTCTGGCTTCCGCTCGGAAGCCCCAACCCCCCCCCCCTCTGCCCCCAGCCCCCCCCCCCTCCTCCCTTCCCTGCCCCCCCCCTCCCTCGCGGTGCAGCAGCAGCAGCAGCCGCCGGATTGTGCACGAGTCGGGCAGGCAGAGGGGTCGTGGATTGCGAGCGTGCTGGGCAGTGGATACTCAAGCGCGACACACACGGCTCTCTGTGTTACACACAACCTACTCGTAGCTACACACACACGCGTGTGTATTATAGACGCTGTAGAGATACCGTATTCTAGTCGACACTACGACCGCTAGCCATAGGATCTTACACATTGATACACGCATCGATATATACTGTAGAGGCGATGCCGTATCGCATACCAACACTCGTGGACGCACTGGTGGTACACATTCACGGTTATAGATAGGCATCTACACGTACGGGACACACACACACGATACATATTACGCACACGCACGCACGCGTACCCATCCTCACCGCGCAAATTTCGGGCTCGTCATTCGATACGCACGTACACGTCTCCTATATACAAACCTCATCGCCACCACACACACACACCCGCGCCTATTACATACATAACAAAAACACACATCGACGTATAGATATGTAGCTGTCATTAGCCACACGCGCGCACGTACACACACGTGCGCACACGGGGCACACACACACGCAGGGCAGCAGGAGGATGTGAGCGGCGGGCACACGAGCCGGGCTTGCTTCTCTCGCTCTCGCCTCTAACCCACCGTTACCACAATCTACATCATCATCTTCTTCTTCTTCGTCCTCTTCCTCTTCGTCATCTGCTGGGGTTTTGGAGGGTGGAGTGCGCGGGGAGCCGCGAGAGGGGCCGACATGATGCGTGTGACGCTGCTGCCAGCTCCGAGGACATGAAAGATGAGCGAAGAGACGCGCCCAGACGAGTAAGTGGCAGGGACGAGGCCCCCTTCTCCACCTCCCCACACCACCTCTGCCCACCACCACCACCTGCTCTATCAATACCCGTCCATCCAGTACCTAGTCCATCTAGAAACCTCTCGTATTCTCCGTCCTGCCTTCCCATCATCATTCGTCAAAAATCCTTCACCACCGCAATGTTTGTCTCGTTAGTCCAGAACCTCCCGTCATTTCCTCCCATCTGTCTCTTCAATCCTGCACAACATCCAACTGTTTACCTCCCTCCTCCGCCCTTCATTCCTCACCACATCCCTCACCACATCCTTCACCATCTACGCAGCTCGTTCGCCTCCTACCAACGCGCACAGCGTTGCCAACGCATCACCACGCGGCCCATGTCCCGTTCCCTCCGGCATCTCCATCCACCAACACCTACACTCTCCGAGCTCCCCTGCACCATCCACCCCCCCTACTCCCTTCGTCAACAACTTCCCTTCCCACGAACAGACCCCCTCTCAATGCCGCTCTCTCTCTCTCTCGTCTGGGCCACCGTGGAGCCCTCAGACACGGCCGTGCGTGTGCTGGGCACGTCGTGTTTCGGGGGTGCTTGCAAAGGGGATCAAGAGGCTTTCCCAGTGTGAGGACCGAAGAAGGAGGGCGGGTTGCATTGCTAAGAGGGCACACGCGGAGATGACCCAGGGAGAGGTCAGGACTTCCCAGGATTGAGATTTCCGCTAGAGATGTAAATTGTTACTCCTGGGACGGGTTGAGCGGCCGCTCTCAATAATGGGACGCACGCGTGTGGCAGAGGTTGTTGGTTCTGTTTTGAAGAAAGCCAGGATGGTGTCACCAGCCCGTGGGCCAGGAGACCTGCGGGTTTTACAATCACCTGGGGGAGGGGGGGGAGACGGATAAGAGAGTCCTCGCGAGGCTAAGTGAGTTCCCAGGACGGCAGACGTCTCAAAACGAAAAAAAAACGAAAACCGGCCATTGCTGGAGCGGGACCTCTGATGCAGGGCGAGAGGAGGCTCTGGAGATGGAGCAGCAGCAGCAGGAGGAGCAGGAGGAGGGACTGGATGTGGGAGGGATGGGGACACGTCTTGTGGGATCGTCTGAGCGGGCTCTCTGGTTCCATGCCCAGGGGCGGGAGAAGGGCGAGGGAAGAGGAGGAGGGAGGGAGGGGGGCCGCCAGGTGCCGCCATTCCGCCCAGAGAACCCGCCATGTTTTTATCAATCGCTCTCATTAGCATAGGAGGAGTCCATTCATGAAACGCGCCGCCGCCGCCGCCGCCGTGCCGGAGTCGGCGTCTCTCGCCACCGCTGCGGCGGAGAGCGCCCAAGGACCGCAACGCAACGGGCCGTGGCCGTGACGGCCATTTAACGTTCACCCCCCTCCTACTCCTCCTCATCCTCCTCCTCCCTCTGACTCCATCCTCCCTCCGACTCCATCCCCCCCCCCCCCCGGCCCTCCCCTGGAAATGCCCTCCATGTTCTCGACAAAAGAACGCCGTGAAACACGCGCGCACTGTACCAGGGCGGCCCCATTAGTATGGAGGCCGCGTGTCTCCCCGTGTGAGTGTCTCCCCGTGTGAGTGTGTGTGTGTCTTCCCGTGTGTGTGTGTCACCCCGTGTGAGTGTCTCCCCGTGTGAGTATGTGCGTGTCTCCCCGTGTGAGTGTGTGTCTCCCCGTGTGAGTGTGTGTGTGTCTCCCCGTGTGAGTGTGTGTGTCACCCCGTGTGAGTGTGTCTCCCCGTGTGAGTGTCTCCCCGTGTGAGTATGTGTGTGTCTCCCCGTGTGAGTGTCTCCCCGTGTGAGTATGTGCGTGTCTCCCCGTGTGAGTGTGTCTCCCCGTGTGAGTGTGTGTGTGTCTCCCCGTGTGAGTGTGTGTGTGTCTCCCCGTGTGAGTGTGTGTGTCTCCCCGTGTGAGTGTGTCTCCCCGTGTGAGTGTCTCCCCGTGTGAGTATGTGCGTGTCTCCCCGTGTGAGTGTGTGTGTGTCACCCCGTGTGAGTGTGTCTCCCCGTGTGAGTGTCTCCCCGTGTGAGTGTCTCCCCGTGTGAGTATGTGCGTGTCTCCCTGTGTGAGTGTGTGTGTGTCTCCCCGTGTGAGTGTGTCTCGCCGTGTGAGGGTGTGTGTGTCTCCCCGTGGGAGTGTGTGAGTGTGTGCGTGTCTCCCCGTGTGAGTGTGTGTGTGTCTCCCCGTGTGAGTGTGTGTGCGTCTCCCCGTGTGAGTGTGTCTCCCCGTGTGAGTGTGTGTGCGTCTCCCCGTGTGAGTGTGTGTGTGTCTCCCCGTGTGAGTGTGTCTCCCCGTGTGAGGGTGTGTGTGTCTCCCCGTGGGAGTGTGTGAGTGTGTGTGTGTCTCCCTGTGTAAGTGTGTGTGTGTGTCCCCGTGTGAGTGTGTCTCCCCGTGTGAGTGTGTGTGCGTCTCCCCGTGTGAGTGTGTGTGTGTCTCCCCGTGTGAGTGTGTCTCCCCGTGTGAGGGTGTGTGTGTCTCCCCGTGGGAGTGTGTGAGTGTGTGTGTGTCTCCCTGTGTAAGTGTGTGTGTGTGTCCCCGTGTGAGTGTGTCTCCCCGTGTGTGTGTGTGTTACCCCGTGTGAGTGTGTGTGTGTCTCCCTGTGTGAGTGTGTGTGTCTCCCTGTGTGAGTGTGTGTGTGTCTCCCTGTGTGAGTGTGTGTGTGTCTCCCCGTGTGAGTGTGTGTCTCCCCGTGTGAGTGTGTCTCCCCGTGTGAGTGTGTGTGTCTCCCCGTGTGAGTGTGTGAGTGTGTCTCCCCGTGTGAGTGTGTGTGTCTCCCCGTGTGAGTGTGTGTGTGTGTCTCCCCGTGTGAGTGTGTGTGTCTCCCCGTGTGAGTGTGTGTGTGTGTCTCCCCGTGTGAGTGCGTGTGTGTCTCCCCGTGTGAGTGAGTGTGTGTGTCTCGCCGTGTGAGTGTGTGTGTGTCTCCCCGTGTGAGTGTGTGTGTCTCCCCGTGTGAGTGTGTGTGTCTCCCCGTGTGAGTGCGTGTGTGTCTCCCCGTGTGAGTGAGTGTGTGTGTCTCCCCGTGTGAGTGTGTGTGTTACCCCGTGTGAGTGAGTGTCTCCCCGTGTGAGTGTGTGTTACCCCGTGTGAGTGTGTGTGTCTCCCCGTGTGAATGTGTGTTACCCCGTGTGAGTGTGTGTGTCTCCCCGTGTGAGTGTGTGCGTGTCTCCCCGTGTGAGTGTGTGTGCGTGTCTCCCCGTGTGAGTGTGTGTGTGTCTCCCCGTGTGAGTGTGTGTGCGTGTCTCCCCGTGTGAGTGTGTGTGTGTCTCCCCGTGTGAGTGTGTGTGTGTCTCCCCGTGTGAGTGAGTGCGTGTCTCCCCGTGTGAGTGTGTGCGTGTCTCCCCGTGTGAGTGTGTGTGTCTCCCTGTGTGAGTGTGTGTGTGTCTCCCCTTGTGAGTGTGTGCGTGTCTCCCCGTGTGAGTGTGTGCGTGTCTCCCCGTGTGTGAGTGTGTGTCTCCCCGTGTGAGTGGGTGCGTGGGAGCGGTGGTGCAGCGGTTAGCGCACTGCGCTATGACGCGCCCTCGGCAGCGTGGCGGCCAACAAAAACTGCCCAATATACGAAACCCAGTCCCGAGCCTCCCCTAGGTCGACTCGGCCTCAAACGAGTACCACCTGGTTCGGCGTGTAAAACATTTGACACCGGGGAGACAAAGGCGGCCGGGGTTAGTGTTGCCCCCCCCCACCCTTTTCCACAACCCTCGTGTGCGGCCTTCTTCGGTGTTCGCGATAACAGCGCCCAGCCCGTGAAATAAGACCACGGGGGAGTCTCTCGGTCTTTGCGAGTGTGTTCACTGTGGTGCCAGCATTATTTTTGACCGCTTTTCATTCATAAATGCCCAGGCCCGTTATACATCCGTGCCGCTGTCTCAACAGCGACCACCACCACCCACCCACACACACCACCACACACCCACCCACCACCACCACCCACCCACCACCACCACCCACACACACCACCACCACACACCCACCCACCACCACCACCCACCCACCACCACCCACCACCACCACCACCCACCACCACCACCCACCCACCACCACCCACCCACTACCACCACCCACCCACCACCACCCACCACCACCCACCACCACCCACCCCCCACCAACCACCCACCCCCACCCACCACCATCCACCCCCCACCAACCATCCACCACCATCCACCCCCCACCAACCACCCACCACCACCCACCACCAACCTTCCACCACCAATCACGACAGCCACAATACCTCTCCCCCCACCCACGTGCACCCCAACCCCGCTCGTTCCACCACCAAAACCACAAGACAAAGATCACCCGTATAGCCTTTGAAACAGACTGTTGAGGCAAAGGGCTGCGAGTGAGAAAACACGAGGGTGTGGGGGTGGCCAGCCCCACGCCCGGCCGCCTTTGTCTCCCTAGTGGCGATGTTAACACACCGCAGCAGGTTACTAATTTAAGTCGACCTAGATTAGATAATCACTGAAGGCGGTGGTAGCCGTGAGATGCAATTGATGTAGGGACGACGACGCGAAAACCACTACACTACCGCTCCTCACACACACAACACACCACTACTAACCACTACACTACCGCTCCCCACACACACCACTACCGCTCCCCACACACACACACCACTACTCACCACTACACTACCGCTCCCCACACACACACAACACACCACTACTCACCACTACACTACCGCTCCCCACACACACAACACACCACTACTCACCACTACACTACCGCTCCCCACACCACTACTCACCACTACACTACCGCTCCCCACACACACAACACCCCACTACTACTAACCACTACACTACCGCTCCCCGCACACACAACACACCACTACTAACCACTACACTACCGCTCCCCGCACACACAACACACCACTACTCACCACTAAACTACCGCTCCCCACACACAAAACACCCCACTACTACTAACCACTACACTACCGCTCCCCACACACACAACACCCCACTACTAACCACTACACTACCGCTCCCCGCACACACAACACACCACTACTCA